GAAGATGACAACAAAAGCAAATCAGAAGGCAATGATAATCCTAATGGAGCAGAAAGTAGAAATCAAGTTGAATCGACTGATGAGACTGTCGATGTTGATGGAAACACAGCTGATGAAGCTGAAGACTTAACCAATGCTAATGATGGTGATGAATCTGAATTGAAAGAATGTAGTGATGAAAGTAAAGAAACTGACGAAGAGCAAAAATCCAAAAGTCGACACAAGAAGTCTACTCCTAGGAAAACTGTCGCTTCTGATGATATGGGTGACTCTTACTCTACTGAGAACGCTCAAGGAGATGAAGAAGATGAAGATGGAAGGAAAAAAGAAGAAAATTATATGAATGATGGTGGGTCAGACGAAGATGATGATAGTCCAGTTATTTTAAAAGCAACAATCGATGATGTTAGTGATTACATTGACGAGGATGATCTAAACGAGGAAAACGATGATTATGAGACAAGTGGAGGTATTGATAGAGATGTTATATTCCAAAGGCAACAACAACTTAGATTACAGCAATTACAACAACAACAAAAGTACCAACAACAAATGCAATTCCAATTACTTCAAGAACAACAAGAGGCCAAACTGCTTGAACTTCATCAACAATTACAACAAGCAACAACCAATGATACAATTGTACCAGATCAAGATGACTCTGCACCAGAATTGAGTTTAGATTGGCAAGAAGGTTTTACAGATGAAAGTTTCCCTTTGATAACCGATCTAAGAACAGGATCCGCAGCTTCTTTAACCTCAAACAATCGGTCTGGACTCGACAAGAATGTTTCTGATAATGATTCTACTTCTAATAATTGTAAACAAGCAATGCCTGATTTCCTCCAACCTCGAGGACCTGGTAGACCCAGAAAGGGTAACAAATCAAACGATATCAGTCCATGTCCAGAATGTAATAAGGTATTTGTCCGACCTGATGTACTTAAACTTCATTTCCGTAGTGTTCATCTCAATGAAAGACATCCTTGTAATATGTGTCCCAAAATATTCAAATGGCCGGGTGATTTATCTAAACACAAAAGAACCAAACATCCTGAAGCAATGGCAGCCCTTAATAATCAAAAAAACCAATCTAGTAATAGTTAACCTCTGTTAATGGAAATTAAAACGTAACAATTGTTAATTTAATTTAGTGTTGGCATCTTCACCATTTCATTTCTACATATTACTCTTCCATTCACTCATCTTGTCTCCATTTCATCTTATTCATTTTCTTATCCACCTGAATCATCCTGTTCATCGTCATGGCACCAAATTACGGGCTTCACTTCAAAGATTAATATTTTTATTATTGTTATTTTGTCTTTTGAAATTCTCTTCTTTAAGCTTCCATATAAAATCTTATGTATAGAAGACTCCAGGTTAATTGCCTCAAAAGATCTACTCTAAACGCATCCCAGGTTTCTTGAAACCATTAATATATATCTGATTATTATTTATAATTTTTTATTTCTACCAGAGTTTTGCAAGAAATTTATCAAATTATCAAACTTATACAAATAATATATTTTTTATTTTTGATGAAACAATGAAATTATCAAATTCAAACAATAGCAACTCTTAAATCCTAGTGAAAAACAAACAATAAGTCAATCATCACCCTATTGTTAGAAAAGACTTAATTGTTACTTGATTCTCAATTGAATCTCTTGAAGATAATTTTTTAAAGTAAATCAAATTTTTTGTATCACCAATTGCAAAGTCTAACTGATAACTGATTCCCATACTTGGGTCACCAAAAGTTAATGAATGTTTATAATTATAATCGCTTCTGCTTAATAAAGAGACTATTAATAAACATTCATATTTTAAACACATTCATTTATCAATTTATAATCATGAGCAAGACTGGAAAAAGGAAGAACCTAAAATTAAATGCTAATCGAATCTAAATTTATTTTTCTTTACTGTTCAGAAATAATCTAATTCCGATCACTTCTCTAAAAATTGCGACGATCGCAATTATTGAGCTAATGTAAAAATATAATTATTAGACTAACAATCTTCAGAAACAAACAAAAGGATAATAATTCTGTGAAGAATGAAAATGTTGTAAATTGATAATTTCATGAAAGGTATATTCAAATTCAGAATACATTAAAATGTGTATGGAATGTGCGATTTAAGCATTTATTTTGTAGCATCTTTATATCAAAGCATGATCCAATTAAATATGAAATAAAATGATTATGAATTTTCCAAGAGCAGGTTTGATCACGTCCGATGAGCCTTAATTTCCGGCTGATTTAATGATTCTCAATATCACTCCATTAAGGTTACTGATAATTGGCATTCAAGAAACAGCGCTCATTGATTTCACCAATAATTTGAAAAAAAAATCAATAAAATTGCAGAAAGTTAGGTAATATGTTAATTAAGTTGGTTGAATTCAGTATTGACAATGAATTGTCATATCTTGGTAATGTATTTTAGCACTCAAATGCTAGCATATGTTAGATTTTCAATTGTTAAGCTTTGTTACATTGTTACAATTGAATTAAGAGACGATTGATAGAGTTTTAGAGAAGTCAATTTAGACAATTTTTGTTTGATTGATCTTTCAAATATTCACTTAATGATTAAATTAGGTTTATTTAGATGTTATTTAACAAAGCATCTGAATCTCTAACCCTAGACTTAATTTAAAGTCAAATTGAATAGGATAACAGACAATGAGAACTTATTCAGATGCTGTGAATTTAAATTAATCTTCCTCATTGCACCTTTTTACCTGAAAATTGGAATGAATTTGTCATGAAAAATTCTGAGCTGCTTTCAATGCAGCTCTTGGTCGTTACTTATCTTTTGGTCACAGTTTAATAATACAGTCACGGTTGTTAAAAAAGCCACAATCACAATTATCCCATTCATACACAAATTGAAAAAATATTGATGGGCAAAATAAATGGGCAAAAACGGGTAAAAACTAATTTCTTGCAAATTTAGACTCTGTAACTTTGTAAAGAATTAAAAATTGTATCCTTTTGTGCGATTTATAAATTTCTCTGATCAATAATTTTCGAAAAAATCGAGTTCAAAGTTGAAACTTCGATCTCTTTTTGTACAATAATGGAAGCAGATTTTTTCATGAAAATTAATATTCCTGAGGAATTTTTCATGGTTAATCGAAAGATCTACTTATTTTACGCAATAAAGATTTTGGTTTCTGTAAAACTTCGATTCTTCGATTTCCAGTTAAACCGATCGCTATCTGTGACCGAAAGAGTTAGCGAGCTGAAACTTATTATTTGTGCATAAAAATTAGTTGTACCCATCATGGATTGAATACTTTTTTAAATCTATCAACAGTTCTCTTGATTTTGGACATTGACCAGTAAATTTTGAGCCACGATATTTCGAGAATGGCATCACTTACAGTTATCATTCTTTCGCCAATCCATTTCTTTGCTGATTAACAATTTAATTCAATGCAATTAATTTTCATTAGCTCATTCGGGTTATTAAGTTTGAGTTGTAAATGAACGAACAACAACTTATTTAACAAACCAAGCTCATCTCAACCCATTTCTTGGTAAATAAACCAATTTTCTGGTTAAACTTGCAAATGAAAGTCTACCAAAGAGCCGAAAATTTGAATTAAGAGTTGAGAATTGCTGGGTTTGTAGGGACATAAAAACTGTGTCCATTGGTACTATTAAATAGTTCATCAGGTAAACAGTTTTCTAAAAAATCGAGGTCAAAGTTGAAACTTGGATCGACTTTTATTCAGCTGTGGAAGCAGATTTTTTCATAAAACTCATCCAACTGATGTAACTTTTGACGGCCAACCAGAAAATGGTCTTATTTTGAGAAAAAAACATTCCGTGTTTCTGAAAAACAGATCAGTTCAATTTTCAGTTAAAGCGATCGTATTCTATGACCGCAAGAGTTAGAGAGCTGAAACTTATTATGCATTTGTAAATATTGTTGGTTCACATCAATGACAGAAAAAATTTTTCAATTTATCAAAAGTTCTCATGATTTTGACCATTGTTCTAAAAACTCTGAGCCTCAATATTTCGAGAATGGCATCACCTACAATCATGATTCTTTGACTGAACATTAGATTACACCATAGACTATAATAAATGAAATATTGAACCATTCAAGATGCTACAGAAAAAGTTGTAGCATTCTTTTACTTATGTTGCCAGATTTGAGTTTGATTTATAAAGTTGATTAGTTTGCTTATGCATTAGAAGGTTCTTCATTATTAAATCAATTAGCTCAGATTTTATTCGGTACTCATTTTTGATATTTTGTCCTATTCGATTCGTTCAAAGCATTCTTCGATCCTTAGAAATCAGTTTTACCCAATTAAACGATGGTAAACCAACATCTTTGTCAAATTATTCATTGAAATTCGATGTGTAAATAAAAACGAGTCGAATAACTTTGACAAATAATTGTTAATTGTTAGTAGACTGAATAAACATTTCAAAAGATGTATCACTATTAGCTGTTCGTCTCTTTATTTAGCTCTTAGGAAATACTCTCTTCGAGGTTAGTTTCAAAAGTGTTGGAATCAAGTGAAATTGTTTCCAACGTCAAATCTAATTGTGATTATTATTGAATTGATATTGTTATATTTTGTGATTGAATTGATGATGGATAAAAAACTAATAGTTTTACAATTTTATACACTGGTAATAACGATTTTCCAGTTATCGGTAATTCAACTTTGTTCAGGTGAACTTCTAGGCTCTATTTTTGGTTCTCCGTTGGTAACTGACCTTCAAAATGACAGGATTGATGTTTTGAATAAACTTTTGTCTCCGAAAGTGTTGCCAGTGGGCGGTAATGTTGTTGCGTATGAACTGCTACAAACATTGAGCACGCGAGCGATTCAATCTGGAATCTTTGATACTGTCGGTCAATTTGGAACAGTAGTTAGATCATTTCTTGGACCATTAACATTACCGTATTCACTTGATTTCGATAGGGCGGCCAAAACAGAACGTATGTATGATTATGTGATTGTTGGTGCTGGATCTGCTGGGTCTACATTGGCTGCTCGATTGACAGAGGATGAAGATGTTACCGTATTGGTTATAGAAGCAGGTGGAGAAGAATCTCATTTTAATAATGTTCCGATATTCGCAGTGTTAACACAAAGAACTGACATCGATTGGGGATATTATTCTGTACCTCAAACTCGATCAGCTAGAGGTTTGAATAACAAACAAATTCCAGCGTCTAGAGGTAAAGTCGTCGGTGGTTCTTCATCCATAAATCTCATGATTTACAGCAGAGGAAATCCAATAGATTATGAGCGATGGCAAGAGTTAGGTGCCACAGGTTGGAATAGCTCAGCTATGGATCCATACTTCGTCAAAATGGAAAATACGACAGATCCAACAAGTCAACCTGGTTATCACGGCACCACTGGACCCTTAACTATATCAACCGTCAGTGAAACTTTTCCTGTTGATTCAGCTTTTCATGAGGGACTGAAACAATATGGTCTCAAGATTGGAGACTATAATGCCAATGATCAAGAGCGATTTCAGTACTCTCCATTTACCATTCGAGATGGTAGACGTTGTTCAACTGGACGTGCTTATTTAGGACCTGCTTCTTCTCGTAAAAATTTGGATATTCTGCTCTTCTCACGAGTGACTAAAATTATATTTGATGATGATAAGCGAGCGATCGGAGTTGAATTTACAAACAGTGAAAAAGATTACCAAGTTTTTGCTCGAAAAAAAGTGATTATCTCTACTGGTGGAATCGCAACTCCTCAACTGTTGATGTTATCAGGAATCGGACCGAGGGATCAATTGGAAAAATTCAATATTCCAATAGTCCATGAGTCTCCTGGAGTTGGCAATAATTTACAAGATCATCCATTTACCTTTTTCTTGTTTACGACAAAGGCTGATACTAGCATTTTGCTTGCGCGTGATCTTATTCCCAATTTGGCTGTATATTCAGCAACTCATAAAGGAAGGTTCGCATCATCTGGTGCAAACGTAGTTGGCTTTTATAGAAGCAAATTTGCTAATGATTCAAGACCTGATCTTCAGATCTACGAATTTGCTTATTCCTTTGGAGGAGGAGCGCCAGATTTTTATTTAGGTAATTACCAGATCTCTTTAATTCAGTTCAATGTTTAACAGCAGTTTTTTCCTTTCAGGTTATATTTTTAATTTCGATAGACAGACGCTTGTAAATTATGCCTTGCCAAATACATTTAGTGATGGAACCGCGTATGTGATAAGTTTAGTTAAACCTCGAAGTACTGGTACAATTAAATTGGCTTCTGATAATATCCGAGATCCTCCTTTGATTGACTTCAACTTTTTCACTGATCCTCGCGATCTCGATGCTATGGCTGAAGGATGTAGATTGGTTCTTAACATATCAATGACACCATCAATGCAGACTGTTGAACCAAGACGTTACAATTCAACATTGCCTGGTTGTGAACAATATCCACTCGACTCAAATGATTATTTAAAGTGTCTTATCCAAACGATAACTTACACACTTTGGCATTCAGTTGGCACAGCTAGCATGGGTTTGGCTAGTAATCCATTGGCTGTTGTTAGCCCTAATCTTCATGTTCATGGTGTAAAGGATCTCATGGTTGTTGATACATCTGTAATGCCTGCAATAACTACAGGAAACACCAACACACCTACCATAGCAATAGCCGAAAGAGTAGCTGACATGTTAAAAGGAAGAGTATTGAGAGCTAAAAGTCTTCCCTACACTGATGAATATGAATATATAAATGATTATGTTCCCTATCAAATTGATGATTAAGTTCAAAGGACTTAAACAATAATTGAAAAACAAAATAAAGTAACACTTTTAGCGTCAACTAGACCGACTTTATGGCTGCACCATCATCTGTTTGCAGTTTCAAGATACTTTGATATATTTCTCTTGATTTTGGCCATTGGCCTAAAAACTTTGAACCTCGATATTTCGATAATATCATTACCTACAATCATCATTCTTTAATGAAACATTAGATTGCATTGTGTGCTATAATATACTGAAATATTAAATTATTCAAGATCATACAGAAAAAGTTTTAGCATTCTTTTACTTATGTTGCCAGATTTGAGACTTGATTCAAGTTAAATGGCTTCTCAAACATGAATCTTATGTGTTAGATGTTTGCAAATGAATTCAAGTTACTCAGAGGGATCGATTTGTTTGCAAAGTGATACAATAATTATGCCAAAAGCCCTTGTTGTAGATATAATAAAAAAACATCGATTTTGTCATTTTTCATGCCAGATGGATGAAGGTAAGACCTCGAGCAATATCTCTATTGGTTCATTGGTTCATCTCTATTCCCGAAAATATGCTACAGATTACTTTAGTCACAACTGTTACTTTAGACAGCTGCTGTCTTGGACCAATTGCGTCTCCTTACTCGCTGGATGTTGATCGACCATCCAACAATAACAATACATATGATTATGTGATTGTTGGAGCTGGAGCTGCTGGTTCAACAGTAGCTGCTCGATTAACAGAAGAGTGTTCGCGTCTTAGTTATTGAAGCTGGTGGAAAGGAGAATAACTTTAACAACATTCCTCTATTTGCGCTGTTACAACAAAGAACGCCAATCGACTGGGGATATTTTTCAACACCTCAAACTCGATCAGCTCAGGGTTTAAAAAATCATCAAATTTCAACATCTCGAGGTAAAGTAGTTGGTGGCTCTTCATCTATAAACTTCATGTTATATGTAAGAGGCAATCAATTAGATTATGATCGATGGCAAGAGTTAGGTGCTGCAGGTTGGAATAGCTCAGCTATGAATCCATACTTCGTCAAAATGGAAGATTCAAGAGACTCGAAAAGGGAACCAGGCTACCATGGTACTAAGGGTCCAATGACAATCTCAGAACTAAACGATCCTTTCGAAGCAGACACAGCTATTTTAGAAGGAGCCCGTGAATATGGGTTTAACATTGGAGACTACAATGGTGCAGATCAAATGCGATTCCAATATGGTTCACATTATATTCGAGATGGAAGACGCTGTTCAACTGGTCGTGGTTACTTAGGACCTGCTTCTTCTCGTCGCAATCTGGATATTCTGTTGCATTCACGAGCTGATAAAATTATATTCAATGGAAAGCGAGCGATTGGAGTTGCATTTACAAGCAATAAGAAAGACTATCAAGTCTTTGCTAGAAATGCAGTCATCATTAGTACTGGTGCAATAGCAACTCCTCAACTGTTGATGTTATCAGGAATTGGACCGAAGGATCAATTGGAAAAATTCAATATTCCAATAGTTCATGAGTCTCCTGGAGTTGGCAATAATTTACAAGATCATCTATTCACCCTTCTTCTCTTCAGGACTAATTATGGGACAAGTTTTGCAGTCGAGCGAGTTGATACTGTAAAAAGTTTAGTTGAATATGAAACGTCTCATACTGGACCCTTTGCATCCTCGGGATTGAATGTGAACGGATTCTGGAGAAGCAAATATGCAGATGATTCAAGACCAGATATTCAATTTCAAGCACAGAGTATTAGTTTGGGAAACGCACTTTCAAGTTACTACTTAAGTACGTATAAATAAATAATCCATTTCTTTTGATATTCTAATAATTCTAATACTCTTTACATTTAAGGTTATCTGTTCAATATAAATAGGGAAACTTACGTTAAATATGTTTTGCCCAACACCAACAAAGATGCGACCATTATACTAGTGACCTTAGTTAGGCCTCGAAATACTGGTACAATTAAATTGGCTTCTTCTGATATCAAAGATTCTCCTTTGATTGACTTCAACTTTTTCACTGATCCTCGTGATCTGGATGCTACAGTTGAAGGATGCAAATTGTTTCTCAACATATCAAAGACTGAGGCTATGAAATCAGTTGGAGCAGAGCGTTTCGATTCCCCACTACCTGGTTGTGAACAATATCCACTCGACTCAGATGATTATTTAAGATGCCTTATGCAAACGCTAACTTTCACTCTCTGGCATTCGATTGGCACAGCTAAAATGGGTTCTCGTGGTGATCCAATGGCTGTTGTTAGTCCTGATCTTCTTGTTCATGGTGTGGAGAATCTCATGGTTATCGATACATCTGTAATGCCTGAGATCACAACGGGAAACACGGCTACTCCTACCATTGCAATAGCTGAGAGAGCAGCAGATATGATAAAAGGAAGAGTATTGAGACCTCAAAGTCTTCCATTTACTGATGAAGATGATATAATTTCCGATTATGTTCCATATCGAATTGATCATTCAATTTAAAGTATCAATCTTTAATATAAAATAAATGTGCTTTAACATCAAATAGACTACTACTAGAGATCAACTATCATTTTTTATGCTCAAATCTTGTCGTAGGAATAGACTAGAACAGACTAAAAAGTCGACCGGTATTTAGTTATATCATATGATACGCCCATGATAAAGTCTAATAATTCAAATATAAAATGATAAAAATAATATTATACAAAATTCAGTGTAATTATATCGGAAATTTTTAATACATAATGTATTATGGTGTAAAGCATATTTCGTGGTTGATGCATACTTTCACTTCAAAATTAAGTTAATCCTGAGCTGAACTTAACATCTAACCCTAAAAAATATTTGATACATTTGATGCTTAATTTTATATTAGTAATTGAATGCAAATAAAAATTAATCTAAATAGTTTTACAGGTGTTTCTCGGATTCCAAATACAAACTGTTTACAAGCAAATGATTTAGACAATCAATTCGATTGCAAAGCGATTCAAATGTTTTATATTTTAAACATAACTGTTATAACAACTTTATTGTTTAATTCCTTTATTGAGGAAGAGATTAACTCATTTACTCTCTACCTATGAATTATCATGCTTTAATTGCCATTAACTTTACATTGAATCAATTTGCACACAAAAGTTATAATTTACTGCACTTGTTAAATGCCAAATGTGATGCCACGATTTGCATTTGAGTCAATCTATTAATTTACAGTAAATCATCATTAACCCAAAGATCTAACATTGTAAGTCTATTTCTTCAAAATGAACATTTCAGTGATTGTATTTCAATTTACTTTACTGTTATCAGTCCATTTATTAGGGGCTCAATTTTCAATACCTTCAATAACTTCAGAAATAACTAAATGGCGTGATGTCAGGATTGAATTTTTTAACAAATTTTTAAATTCGATCCCGATCCCAGAAAAAGCTTCGAAGCAAGTGTTACTGCGAAAAGTATCTGGAAAAGCTTTCAACTCTGAACTGATTGACGCTGCAAGTCAGTTTGAGACAATAATTGCTTCACCACTTGGACCAATTGCGTCTCCTTACTCACTTGACTTTGATCTACCATCCAACAAGAACAATACCTATGATTATGTGATTGTTGGAGCTGGAGCTGCTGGTTCAACAGTAGCTGCTCGATTAACAGAAGACCCTAGTGTTCGTGTCTTAGTTATTGAAGCTGGTGGAAAGGAGAATAACTTTAACAACATTCCTCTATTTGCTTTGTTACAACAGAAAACTCCAATCGACTGGGGATATTATTCTACACCTCAAACTCGATCAGCTCAGGGTTTGAATGATGATCAGATTCCAGCGTCTCGAGGTAAAGTCGTCGGTGGCTCTACCTCTATTAACTTCATGTTGTATGTTAGAGGCAATCCATCAGATTATGATAAATGGCAAGAATTAGGTGCCACAGGTTGGAATTACTCAGCTATGGCTCCTTACTTCGTCAAAATGGAAGATTCAAGAGACTCGAAGAGTGACCCTGGCTACCATGGTACTAAGGGTCCAATGACAATCTCAGAGCTAAACGATCCTTTCGAAGCAGATACAGCTCTCTTAGAAGGAGCCCGTGAATATGGTCTAAACATTGGCGACTACAACGGTGCAGATCAAATGCGGTTCCAATATGGCTCGCATTACATTCGAGATGGTAAGCGATGTTCAACTGGTCGTGCTTACCTAGGACCTGCTTCTTCGCGTCCAAATCTGGATATCTTTTTGTATTCACGAGTTAATAAAGTTATATTTGATGGAAAGCGAGCGATTGGAGTTGAGTTTACAAACAGTGAAAAAGATTATCAAGTCTTTGCTCGAACAAAAGTGATCATCTGTGCTGGTGGAATCGCAACACCACAACTATTGATGTTATCAGGCATCGGACCGAGAGATCAGTTGGAAAAATTTAATATTTCAATAGTTCATGAGTCTCCAGGAGTCGGAAATAACTTACAAGATCATATATTCACGATTCTTTTCTTCAGGACTAATTATGGGACAAGTTTCGTACCCGACCGAATCGATGCTGCAAAAAGTTTTGTGAATATG